ACAGAGTCGAAGTGCTGCACAGGCTTTCTAAAACAATGACTCTTTACAAAGGCAGATTGATTCATCTTCTTGCTATGGAATAGCTGGTTTAAACTTTTCACGTTTAGGTTAACAGTTGAATGCCTAAGCAATGTGCCCCAGAGCTCCTTATTCACTAGGACCTCCCTAAGCCCTGCCTATTACCTCTCTTTCATCAGCCACTGGGACTGTCTGCAGCAAATGAACAGCAACCTTTCCTCTCTGGTGTGTTCTGTGTAGATGTCTGCAGTGTGGTGTCCCACAATAGTGCCCATATGTGGCATGAGGGCAACCGTAATATTCATTCATTCATATGTTCCACAAATAACTCAACAGCACCAGACAACAGCTGTACAACCAAGCCTGCAGAAGCCAGCACCCACAAATGTGGAAGGCCAAGACCCACCAGGAGAAGGAAATGAGCAACAGGGAAAAGTGGGGAGACTCCACCCTGTCAGAGGGGGGAAATTTTAAAAACCAGGAAAAACAAGGCAATTCCATCTATCATCGATGGGAACAGGTGTCACCATACATGTTAAACTATTTCTGGTATGACATCCAAAAGACATGATGCTTAGGAAAGCAGATTAATGAAGAAGAGGAAAACCCTCAACAAGATTAAGGGACTGATTGAGCAATGGGCCAGGAGAGAGAGTGAAGATGCCGGAGTACCAGGGCAGCATTTTATTCTCTTGTACACGGGGTTGTCATGAGTCAGAACTGACTCAGTGGCATTTAGTAACAACAACAGCATGACACAACAGAGGAAGCTGTAAACTCAGCTGTGCAAAGATCATGCAGATAGTATAGGACAAGTCAATGTTTCATTTTGTTACATAAGGGCAGGAAGACAGCAATCAGTAACAGTAACAAGTAATCTGGACAATCTCTGCTAAGAGATGCTAAGATTCAAGTGGGGCGGAGACAGTACATAAAGCAAAAGATGGAAAGGAGAGTGGCAGGGCCCTCACATTTCCCTTTTTCAAAGTCTGTGGAAAGACATTTCTGGAATCAGGGCTTCCAGAACTTTCCAAAACACAGCAGACTTAGGGGTGGGGCTTGCTGAGCTAGTGGTTTTCTTCATACTCTGTTAATAACTTATCCCCACTGTAGCTTAGGCTTTCTTTCATTTTCTTGGTTTTTTTATCTGTTGGCCAGTATTCACAGGCTCTGACATTAGTCGGAGGATAACAAGAAATGTTTGCACTAAAAAAAAAAATAAATAAATAAGTGCTGTACTACTGTAATTGTCAGTTTTCTGCATGCAAATTAAAGCTTCTGAAGAGCTTGAAGGTACACAGAATCTTCCAGTGTTTTGTTGAATGCTCTTGATAGAAGCATGTATGCACTATTCATTTTTGTTTCTCAAAAGGGAAAGGGTAAACTTCAGCTCATTCTGAATAAACATATCAGGCAACCAGGATGAACGAGACTGTGATACCTGTAATTTATCTACTCCCTACAGATGGTGCTGCCTGGTAAAGGCAGCTGTGAGAAGCTCCTGGCTGTGTGACAGGACCCAGGAGCTAACATGAAAGGCTCACAGAGTCATGGGGGAATTTGGCATTGAAAAGAATGCTCAAATTTGTAAGGGGCTGAAATATATCCCCAGCCCCCAAAGCCACTGTCTTCAAGTTGATTCCAACTCAGTAGCCCACCATCAGGTTTCTGAAGCTGTAAATCTTCAAGGGAGAAGACATCCTTGTAAGTTGGTAATGTTCTCAGACTTTCTGGCAGCAGCCTCACTAGACCCCAGGGCTCCTTCTGAAATACATTCTATAAGCCAAAACCCAAGAATTTATCTTCATACTTGAAAAATATCACTGGTCACCTTTGGAAGATGTTAATCTCATTCTAATTCAAGGCTAAAACTTTTCATTTCTCAATATATACTGCACTCAAGTTCACAGAAATCTTTTACTTAACATACTATTTAAGGTTAAAAAGAAAGAAGCCTACTGTGTACTCAGTTAAAAGAAACACTTAACCAAATTTACACTATTTGAGGTTAGAAAAAAAAAAAAAAAGAAAAAAACCTACTCTATCTTCACCCGCCTCCAATCCAGGTCTAAAACTTCCCATTAATCAATGTACAATATACTCCATGTTCATTCAAATAAATAGCATATTTTGAGGTTAAAAGAAGAAAGAAAAAAAAAAACAGTAAGTCAGTAAGTCTTGTAAATTTTTTAGACAGCAAGATCTCTGACCTATAAAGTGAAAAAAAAAAAAAAAAACCTGTCCAAAAATTGACCAAAAATGGACATTTACAAAGATCCAATGACTTGGCAATTTCCAGACAACATCTGGTTCTTTTTATTTTTTAAAATTCCATTAATACCCTGTATAAGTTCCTCCTTTGGTCCAAAATACTCAGGCAAGACACCTGAGTCATAAAGATGCCAAAATGTCACCAAAAGGGAGCCCTGAGACAATCAATTTTCCTTACCCTTAAAATCTGAAACAAAACTCACTCCTGTCACTTAACTTTCAGCCAAGCAGTAGACACACCTATAATGTAAACAGTAACACCAGCTAGGCACACACTCCTTAGAATAACCAGTCATATAATGTCAAAGGGGCAGCATTTGACCAACAGTAAAACTCAAAAGGCAGATGGGGTTCCAGAAAAAATGGATATGAGAATCACAGGGAAGAGGTAGGATGGCCGCAAAGGCATTATGGGTACTGGAATTAAAGTTACAAAACAAAATGTGACTAAATGGCTGAATGGAAAACCAATTTGTTTGGTAAACTCTCAAATGACCACACATATACCACCAAGCATTCCAGTCATGCTGCCACTCTTCTGCTACCTTCTAGCTCTAGAGTTAGCACATCCGCCCCAAAAGTACACAGAACTCAACTTAAGACCAACAGTCAAGCAGTGCCCCAGCTCCAGAACTGTTCTTTCTGCCTGAGCCCATCAATAATTCTCAGGGCTCCCTTTCCTGGGGCTTTTAATAATGTCATTATGCCATGTGTGGACACCACAGAACACAATCTGGCTTAGTAGATGGAAGTTTGTACAAATCAATCTATAAAAATCAATGTTATTTTACGCATACAAAGAAGGGGACTATTTAGGGAGGAGAAAAAGGAGTTAGAACTATAGCAGATCACATAAGTGCATTCTTCTTGGCATATATTGATACATCACTTCCCAGGCTTCAAAGATGTGTATCCTACACAAAAAAATCAGAAAAGAAAGAAAGACAGGAGAAGGGAAAGTCTGGAAAGACATCAAGAACACCAATAAAGAGCTCATACCATGGTTACAGGCTCATTTCAAGCCTGAAGAGGCAGGGAAGAAGGATATACACACTCCTCTGGGGGCTTCTCCACTTCAAATCATCAGGTGACCTGGGAAGTTCAAGCCCCAAAATGCTGAGGTCTAACTGGTAAGAGAAGCACTATGACAAATAAAGCATTAAATAAATGAAATAAAATAAATGAAAGTTGAAAACACAACATGTTAATATATGAAGCAACCTAAGCAAAAGACAAGGCTCACTTCTGAATCAAAACCAATGTCCTGGCTATTGAGACAATTCTGATTCCCAGCGATTACTGCACAAGGCAGAGCAGAACTGCTCCCCTGGGTTTCCAAGGCTGTACATCTATACAGAAGCAGACCTCATCTTTCTCCTAGGAAGCAATTGGTAGGTTTGAAGCACTGATCTATGTTTAAAAGACTTTAACCACTGTACCACCATGGAGCCTCCAGTGCGCACTTCAAAAATAACCTAAGTTCACTACCATCGAGTCAGAACCAACTTGAAGCTGGCCCCGTGCAGGTTTCCAAGGCTATAAACTACATGAGAAGACTGCCTATCTCAGAATTTGAACATCTAAAGAAGTGTGGCCTTCAAGCTGGTAGCAGAACTCCTTCCAGGCTCCATCGCCAGATTTAAAGTGTGCAGTTAGAAGCACTGAAAGTCATCTCATGCTCCAAGGCCTGAAGGGCAGGCAGGTTGAACTTCCTCATGCCTCATTTGACAAATGATGTCTTTGCATTATAGCACTGATGAAGAATATGAAATATATCAGGGACTACCAGAAGAACAAATAAGTCTGTGTTGGAAGTACAGCCAGAGTGTTCTTTAGATATGGAGATGGCATCTCTTGTACTTTGCACATGTTATCAGGAGGGACTAGTCCCTGGTTAAGGAAATCAGACTTAGCAAAAAAAGAGGAAGACTCAAGGATTGGTGCAATGGCTGCAATACAGCAGGGACAGGGAGGAGGGACCAGACCACCCGAGTCTCATTCTTAGTGGAAATGACTCAACAGCACCTACCAACAATAGTCTGACAACTAAAACAACTGAGCCTCAGAGGGAAAGGGCTTAAGGAAATAAATATTCTAAAGATAAGCAACTGACCTACCAGCCACAGAGCTGATAGAGGCCCTGCAGGAGACAGTAGATCCCACTCCCCTCAACCCAAACAGGATTTCAAGGTTGTAATCTTTATATCCATTCACTGTCCCATCTCCCCTCCCACCTCTGCAGAGGGTCAGTGAGCTGGAATCCCCAAACTTTGGGTTAGGAGCCAACATGAAATCCACTATGTCATCAAGGCAAGTAGAGGCTGGTGTTTAGTGCTTACAAGCTGGCTGTTGAAGAGCTCTGATACCATGTGGTCCCATGGCACCACTGTCATTCCAAATGGCGTTTTAAAATGCTAACAGTTGCTGATCATCCAAGCATTCCCAGAGAGATCTTTCCTTTCTGGGATCCTGTGGTGGTCAAGCCTGATCACCTTCTGCAATGTGATAAGAGATCAGGAAACCTGACTCCTCAGAAAAAGTCAAACTGATCCTGAGTGTCCCCCGTAGTGACGTGCCATGACATATCCCAGAACAACCAATCTGCCCAATACTGCCACTGGAAAGAGATTTGAACAATTTTTTTTTAACCTAAACACAACAGGGAGGGAAATGAGGCAGGCGAGGAGGCCCAGACACACACACATACATACCTTTAAGCTGGTCAGCCACCACGCTCTGCCCCAGGCGCTCAAACACTGTCCCATCTTCCATTTCATACCTATCATCTAAGTATCTGGCAGTGGCCTCGGAAATGTGGACCTTGCCAGCAACCCCGAGCTGCTCCATGAGGTTGGCCAAGTTCACGTCATTGGACCATACGTCAAATTTAAACCTCCGCATGCCCAGGATGCCGCAGAGGACTGTGCCAGTGTGCACACCCACACGCATGTTCACCATCTCCTTCTTCTCCTGGCAGAACTGCTCGATGGCTTTGATCATGCCCAGGCCCATCTCGATGCAGCAGTAGGCATGGTCGGTGCGTGGCTCCGGGCAGCCAGCCACGCAGTAGTAGCAGTCACCCAGCGTGCTGATCTTCTCACATTTGGTCTCCTCGCACAGGCGGTCGAAGCGGCCAAAGAGGTCATTCAGGAGGCCCACCAACGCGTGAGCCGACTTGTTTGCACTCATCTTGGTGAACCCCACGATGTCTGCAAACAGGATGCTGACTTCTTCGATCTGCTGCATCTTGAATGGGCGGAAAACAATGGGGGTCTTCTGTATGGAGGTCTTCTTTTTCCTGTTCTTGGGGCTGGAGGTGGCGTGCCTTTTGACAGAGTTCTCACTCTCCTCGTCGCCCTGTTTCATCAGGTCGTCGGCGATGATCCTGGGCATCACTGAATGGATCATCCTCTCCTTGAGGGCTTTTTCCACCTCCAGGTCCTTGCCGTGCATGATGGATTGCCCCACCTTAAGGAAGGTGCTGCGGGACCGCACCTGTGACATGACGAACAGGTGGACCCCGATGGCATGCGCGCACAGGTGGAGTAGCGCCCGGCTCAGGAGCTCCCAGTGCATAGCCCCCGCTCCCACCACAGCGGGGAAGCAAGCGGCATCTTGGAAATAGTATCCAAAGGTCTCAAAGAGCGAGGAGTAGGCCACCCCCAGGAACAGGCTCAGGTACAAAGGGAGGTGCATGACGGTGTAGAGCAGAAAGAGCACTTCGATGCATGTGGAGAAGCTGCCCACTTGAGACAAGCAGGCTGCAGGAGCCCTGGCGGCAAGTGTGTCATTGGCACTGTCCTGGAGTCCTGGGGGCGGGGACTGAACCTGGAAGTGCAAGGCCAGTGTCAGGGCACTGAGCATGATGATGAGGAGCAGCGCGGTATATCCGTAGTGGCGGGCGTACAGCTTCGTGAAGGTGAACAGAAAGAAACCCACGCACACCGCCAGGAAGCACAGGGCGGGGGCGACTAGGACCACCAGCCTGGCTCGCATGTGCACCGTGAAGTAGACGCTCCAGAGCAGGCAGGCAAAGCCGATGTAGAAGAGCGCGTAACGGAAGCGGCGCCGCGTCTGCGGGAAGCAGCGCTCCAGGCACGCCTCCTCCAGGTTCACCGAGTCAAACCTGGGGTCCCACCAGCGGCTGGAGGCCCGCTCGAAGAGCTGAGGCAGCTTCTTTTGATGGCGCAGGCGGCCTGCGCCGCCCACCCTGCGCGGCCCGGCCCCTGAGTCGCCCGAGCTGCTGCAGCTCGAAGAGATGCTGTACTTGCAGTGCTTCGGGTGGCTGCCAGACGACAGCTGCTTGGGGTGAATCTTGACCCGCACGCTGTTGCTGTCCCCGCTGGAGTCGCAGCTTACCTCAGTGCTGTGGCGGTGATGCAGCAGCTGCTGGTGGGGCGGAGAAGCCATGTTGCTGCACTGGGCAACTCTGGGACACGACCGCGGCTACCTGGGGGGCACAGAGCGAGTTACACACCAGTCTCTGTACGTCTGCGGCCACCTGGAGGCCGCGCGTTGCAGACACTCCCCTAAAGAGGGCCGCACCCCATCCCCGCACCCAGGGACCTGGCACCGTGTCTAGCCCGGGCGCCCTCGGCCAGTCAGAGCCCCCGGATGCCCGTGCAAACACACCTAGCACGGCGGTGCCGCTGCCTCGTGCCCTCGCCGCCCCCCCCTCCCGCGCGGCTCTGCGCGAAGTTGCCCGACCAGGCGCCGACCCGCAGAGCTCCCCGCTCAACACGCGTGCCCCGGCCCCGGCGGCCAGCAGCCCCCCATGCCGCGCGAGCGGCAGCGGCCTCCCGAGACAACCCGGCGCTGCTCCGCCAACTCGGTTCTCGGGGCGGCGGGCCACGGAGGGCCACGACTTTGCGTCCCCTCGCTCAGCCAGTCGAGAGGGCCTGCTCCTCTCGGCCGGCGCCCGCGGGGATGCGGAGGCGCGCCCGCCCGCCCTTCGGCCGCGAACAAGGCGACACTGACGCCGCCTGGGGAGGCTTCTAGAGCTAAAGATGCCGCCACGACCGCCACCGTCCTGCCCTCTGCCGCAGCTGCATGTTGGAAGAGCCGCCAGCTCCGTGCCGGGCCGCTGTCACTCTGACAGACGCGCACCCGCCCGCGCCGCCCGCAGCAGCGCGCACGCGCGGTCCCGGAACGCCACCGCCCCGCCCCGCCCCGTGCGCGCTCTCGGCTGCGGGCAGGGACGGGCGCGCGCCCCGTGCGTCCCGGGTTGGCTCCCCGCGACCGGGAGAACCTTATAGAAGCTTCTGGAAGGCACCCACCCCCACCTCCGCTGCTGCCCTAACTGGGCCCCTAAACCCATGCTGAGAAACTTGCTTATTTAAAGAGCGGCTGTGGGGCGAACTCTGGGAAAGCAGTGTGCTTCCCACTCTGCACACTATTTGTTTAAATCCGCAGCTTTTAGAAGGGGACTGGGGGAAGCGCCCCCTCCTCTAGAAGCGAGGAAAATGTTCACCCTCCAGGCCTGGATAGGGCGATGTCTACTCTAGAAAGCTGGTACCCCATCCACCCACAGTTTACTCTTCATCTTTTGTCTCCTCCCCCTCCTCATAAACGCGCGTTCCCTTTCCACAAACAAAACTTCCAAAGGTGTTGGCTTCCCATAAAAAAAAAAAAAATGCTACACTGGCTTCCTAAACATTGCCTTAATCAAACTCATTGCGACTCCGAGAACTGCCCTATGGTTTCAGAGGCCAATCTTGTTTTTTTTTCTTTTTTAAAAATATTTTTTAAATAATTTTAATGAACATTTACAGAAATTTTGGATTTCCATTCATTCATTGCTGCACTTCTCTCCCCGCCCAGCCCTCCTCCCCTACCGCCAGTTCATTCCTCTCTTTTAAAAGTAAAAGAAACACTCCCTCCTTGGTACACAATCCCTTGCGCCCCCTCCCACCCCCCGCACCACTCCCACCACCCCAAGTACATTCCACTATGCAACCTTAATTGTGGACTCTTGTGATAACCATGATACCCTATCACACATCGCTTTTACATTATTCTCTCCCTCGTCTGTTTCAGTGCAGTATAAACAATTTATCCAGTTTTTCTCAGTCTTACCCCAACCCTGATATCAGTCCCATTTTACAGCAGTGGCACCATGCAATATTTGTCCTTTTGCGACTGAGATATTTCACTCAGCATAATGTCTTCCAGGCTCAATCTTTATGGAGTTGGATGGCTCCATGGTTTTCCTGAGGGGCAGCCCTGAGGTCTTCAGGCAGGAGCAATCCCACGACTGGTAGCAAGCCTTTAGACTGCCCCAGAGAGTCTCCAAAACTATGTAAATCATTACAGAAGTAGACAGCCTCATCCGTGTCTCATAGGATTCAAACCACCAACATTTTTGGTTACTAGATGAGCATATAAATTTTCTCCACTATTCCTTAATAATTTTTTTCCTCTCCTAGAAGTATCATAAAATTGTGGGAGTCTGGCTTAGAAGCCTAGCATTTTAGATGAAAAAAAGGACTGTGCAGAAAATGAAATACAGTTTGCCAATTAGCAATTGGAGGCCAATTGCTTTACCACTGTGCCACTAGGCTCCTTTACACAGCATCACAGCATTCCTGATTCCTGCCCAGAGGGTACAACATGGATCTCATCTGAGGTAACATCAGATCAACTCGAATTGAGAGATTCTGAACCCAACAGAATAATTGACTTGTGTCCTTCAAAAGTGTGCAGGTCACAAACTAAAGCAAAATAAATTGTAGGAGAAACCCAAAGCTTGGATACCCAGAATAGGGGCTCAGGGTGGGAATGGCAGTTTTAGTTTTGGTTTAAGGAGACAGGAAGGTCTCTGGATGGAGCAAGTGGCTGTTCTTGTCAACTAATCCAAAGGTTGGTGGTTTGAACCCAGTCAGCAATGCCTTGGAAGAAAAGCCTAATGACCTGCTTCTACATCACTAGCTAGCAGAGAGCTGCAAATCAAAGTAACTGTGAGAAACTATCTGGCCCCAGCAACAATAACAAAGTTCAACACAACAGGAACAGTAAGTGCCGAGAGAATATGAAATGGGTACAACCACAATAGAAAGCAGTTTGGCCCTTGCTTAGAAAGTTAGTAGAAATACTGTTTGTTCCAGCAATCCCACTACTAGTCAGTCATATATCTCAAAGAAGTAAGAACTTCAGCACAACAGATTATATACACCCATGTTGACTGAAGCATTTACAATAGCAAAGAGAGAGAAGCCAATGGATGAATGGGTAAAAAAACTACGGTACATCCACACAGCACAGTCCTATGCAACTTTAAAAACATGAAGAATTCTCAAAAAATGACATAACACAGATGTATCAAGAGGACTTTGTTGTTGTTGTTGTTGTTAAGTGCTATCAAGTGATCTCATAGCAACCCTGTGAACGAAAGACCTGAACATCTGTATAACTTCCATCATTTCTCCAAGTTCATAGAGATTCCAGAGGCAAGCTGTTTCAGAAGTGGATGCCACTCCTGCTTCCAGGCTTGTTTTAATCGGAGAGCTCCACCAAACACTCTCCACCGTGGGTAACCATTATTGCATTTGACACATCAGTATCACAGTGTTTAGCACCACAGCAACTATGAGTTACCTCTGTAAAAAATGGACAAACCAGTGCTATACCTCTTAGAAGGATGTTTGACCAAAATCAATTATACTAAACAAAAAGGTCAACTACAAAAGGACAATTTTAGTGTTTTGGGGATAGCAGCACAGGTCCTTACTAATAGGCCCCCAGAGCTCATTTTAGTGTAAGGTACTTGTATGGTCTTCACAATTACTTGGTATGCATCATAGAGCTGGACTATGACTAGGGATATAGAAGGAGAATTGATGCCTTTGAGTTATGGTGTTAGACAAGAATATTGAACATTCAAAGGACTGCTAGAAGAATAAACAGATCTGTCTTGGAAACCAGGCTGCTCCTTGGAGGCAAGGATTTTGAGACTCTGTCTGACATACTTTGGGCATATTACCAGGTTGGAACAATCCTTGGAGAAAGACATTATCCTTGGAAGGGTGGAGGGACAGCACAAGAGAAGAAGATCCTAGGTGAGATGGATTAACTCAATGACTAGGGTAATTGGGGTAGAGATGTCAGAAACAAATTGACTCAGGATAGAAGAAGGTTCAGAGCTGTTGTACATAGAGTCGCTATGAGTCTCAAGCAACTCGATGGCACATAACAACAACTTATTGTAAAAGGAAGGCAGTTAGAATTCATCAACAGCTCCTCAAGAAAAATATGGACAGTACTCCCATTACAAAGACAGAAGAGGAAGAAAAGACCAAAATGGATGTCAGAAGAAACTCTGAAGATTGCACTGGAGCGTAGAGAAGC